AAGGGAATTCAGGCCTTCCAAAAGAGCACGTATGTTCTTCCACAAAAAATATCAGAAGAGCAGACACGTTCCCTGGATGCAGCGGAGTTTTTCCGGGATACCTCTGGTGTCCCGGAAAAACTCCATTGTCTAGATATAGCCAGAGAGGAGAAGGAGTTAAAAGCAGCACCAGGAAGGCTATGTAGGATTGAGGCATTGCTAGGAGGGCTGAGAGGGTGTTAGTGGTAGAGGGGACTCTCTTTCGAAAAATCTGCTTGCAGTCTAGATGCTCTTTTTTGAAAGAGGCTTGCAGTCTAGACGTAGTCTAAGGCACATGTGGGGGAGATGATAGAGTGAGGCACAGCCAGAGGACTGTGTCCAGAAGAGGATGTCGCAGTCTGGGGAGGAATGTGGGACGGGAGCAGATGTGAGACCCTACCTAAGAAGGCCGCACTATTGAATGAGAGATAATTCCCGGAATGGCCAACAGAAGGCTCCACAGCAGTGAACACAGCCCATTACATGTCCTGATTTGCATTCCTATTGTGCCTGCATACCACCAGTGTCTTGCTATAGCAAGTGTAATATTGACAGTCCACCAGCTATATCTATTCTGCCAAATGACTTCCTCAAACACATTTAGCTGCTGCAGCTTTTAAATTCTGGATAAGTTTTCAGATAATATTTTTAAAAATCTCTCCTCAACAGATGTGACTGTATTTTCCATGGCTAGCTGGAAGTATTCCTATTAGTGTTGTTTTAACATGCTTTTACCATTGTTAATATGTTTGTCGTCCAATGTTCAAATGTTTGGTTCTAGGTAAATGGAGAAAATTGTATACTGCACATGCAGACTGAATTGTGTGAACTTGAAGAGATAGTCTTTTGTTCCAAGAAAAATAAAAAATATTTTTTTCGCTAATGCACATTTGGGTTCTTGTCTTTGAAAAGAATTAATCCCTGATCTTATAAAGACTTGTGCACGCTTTCAGTTTTACACACTGTGAGTAGGTCTATTGATCTTCGTGGGACTACTCAATGTGCAAAGTGATGCATGTGCATTAATCTTTGTACCTTCAGGTTTTATGGGGAGGAGGAGCATTACACATAAATAATGCCAGTGAAGACACAATTGTATTAGTCATGAATGTAAAGTGACCTGTGTATAAGTGATTGCACCTTGAACTGGAGCAGAGTTGGTTAGTTTAAACCCAACCAACTTCCATCTATTTGATCCTATGTTGTTCAACTTTTACATTGTAAAATTAGGAATAAAATGTATATGCTAAATATCTGATTTATGTGAAATATTTAGAAAGTTATGTAGCATTTTTCATAAAGTTGTATTCAACTAGTCACACATTTCAGGGTCTATTATATTACTGTGAACTATGTAATTATCTCAAAAGAAATATTAAAATCTGATGATTCAAGAGGCCGTTGACATAAAAAGTCTTGTCTGGTTATGTTTTTTCATGTTCCTAGTTAGTCTGTTGTATTCCCTATTTAAAATGCAAACAATCCATAAAAAAGCCATATTGATTAAAAATCTCCCTGTGTGTGCTTTACAGTCAAAGGTGTTTGGAGATTTGACCATTTTAAATTATAAAATGTAATATATGTAATATCCAGTGTTTGTAAAAGGTAATAAGGAACATGCATGGCTCCATGGCTACGTGGTATCAGGATTTCAAGGTTACAATTGTTTATTAGTTCTATTATGGTAGTGCTCAGAGGCTCCAATCAGGATCAGACATCTCCCCCCTTCTGCATTGTGCTAGGTGCTAACTCATATGTAGAGTCTTTGCCTGAATCTTGGTCTAAGGTTCCAGTCCTGTGGAGACACATGTGCACTGCCATACAGCTTTATATACTTATCTAGCACCACTGAGTTCCTAACACTAGCCCTGTGCATAAATATTTATTGGATCAGGGCCTAATTTAAAACAAGATGCAACAACTCAGTATTTTTTTTTTAAAAATGTAGGCCTATTCTACACTACCATGGACCAATTATCTAAATTATGCAACTTCAGTTACATGAAAAACGTAGGTAAAGTTGACGTGCTACTTACCGCCATGTCTTCACTGTGGTGAGTTGATGATAGACACTCTCCCATCAACTTCCTCCGTGTTTCTCATTCTGGCGGAATATCAATGGAGAGTGCTTGATGGTCAATGTATTGTGTCTCGCCTAGCCACAATAAGCTGACCACTTGCTGGATCGATTGCTGCCTGTTGATTCGACGGGTAGTATAGATATCCCCTAAGATTAACTCACTATGTCCCCCCAACTTCAATAGAACCTTTCAAAAATGTTAATATTCATGACCATCTTCACATTTTCCCCTCTTTTGTTGTTTAATCTACATCCCATCTAAGTCTGCAGTCAAAAGAGTTAAATTACAATAAAAGATAATGTATGTTTGGAAATAGGTTATTGGGTATAATGTGTGAGCTTGTGGGGAGTAAATGGGACTCTGCATAGCCACAAGTATGCAAACCAGCAGATATAGAAGTAGGATTAGGGCCCTTGTAATTGACAAACTACTTGATTTGCTGAACTTCCAGAAGCTAGGAGCATCCCTCCCACAGAGCTATGTTTTTAAATGCCTTAAGCAATCTACAGCTTATCTGTTATGGTAGGAACTTGCTTCAATAAAAAAGATAATGTTATCAAATTTTAAATTTGATATGTATTTTTTTAAATGAGATATTCCCAAGCAATTCTGCCAACACAGCACCATGTTTTATTAACTGTATCAAAGCTAGCAATAGAAAGAATCTAGATGTGTTACAGTAATCTGTTCACAGAAACAGTTATGATATAATATTAATGATCCATAAGCCATCCTAGCATTAAGACCTTCATTTGATTTTTTTATTAGAATCTATATTTTTATATAGCAATTGGTTTGAGGTTAATGAGACAGGCTCCAGAAAACATGGTGTGGAAATTCAGCAGGTCCCTAGGTGCTTTTTGAACTGATATTTGGACAGGCAGGGAGTAAAGCATGTCAGTCCTGTATAAATAAGATAGGGGAAAAAATTCAAAAGCGGGTTTTAGGCATTTTTTATCCCAAATTTTACTTGAGTAACCAGCCCCTTTCTATAAGAACTGACAATGATGGTTAATATCAGGTTGCCAGGATCCCATTTGTTTCAATAAGCAGCAGAAGTTTAAATGTAGAAGCATATAATAGATTCAGTCACCTGGAAGTTATGAAAGTGCTCAAAGTTAAGTGTTGAATAAAACATTTTTTTTCTTAAATGTACCAGACAAACCAGTTTACACCAGAGATATTTTTTAAAAGATGTTCTGGTAGTCTATAATGTTGCCTTTTTTTGGCCCATGTGGTTTAGCCAATATTGGCATCTTGCCAGGTTAGGAGGAGAAACAAGTCAGATATTTCTTTAGTGCAATCCTGTTTATTTGCAAGGAATATACATCCATGTCATAGAAAGAACAAACAGGAGGTAGATTTCTTGTTTATAATTTCCAAGTCTGCTTTTCCAGAAAGTCCTGTTCTTTAAGGACTTTTTTCTCTGTTCCCCCCTCTGGACCCTCCTTTCCACCACTTCTCTCACTGTCAGCTAGTTTTCTGATTGTGCTCTCACTCTTTCTTGCAACCAATGAATCTCCCAGCTCTTGTCTTGACGGTCAATCCCCTTGGAAGTCTCTTGGTCTACATGACTTAGTTTCTCAGACTCTGGCATGTTATATAAAAATGGCCTTATTGGGTCAGGCCAAAGGCCCATCTAGCCCATTATCCAGTCTTCCGACAGTGGCCAATGCCAGGGGCCCCAGAGGGAAAGAATAGAAGAGGATATTATCAAGTGATCCATCCCCTTTCCCCACTTCTGACAAATAGAGGTTAGGGACACCATTTCTGTCCACCATTTCTGGCTAATAGCCATTGGTGAACCTATCATCCATGAATGTGTCTAGCTCTTTTTTGAACCCTATTAAAGTCCTGGATTTCCTAAGATCCTCTGGCAAAGAGTTCCACAGGTTGACTGTACGTTGTATGAAGAAATGCTCCCTTTTGTTTGTTTTAAACTGTCTACCTATTAATTTCATTTGGTGACCCTAGTTCTAATGTTATGGGAACAAGCAAATAATTTTTACTTATTTACTTTCTCTACACCAGCTGTGATTTTATAGACTTATATCATATCCCTCTTAGTCGTCTCTTTTCTAAGATGAAAAATCCCAAAGTTTTATTAATCTGTCCTCATATGGCAACTGTTCTAATCATTTTTGTAATCATGTTACCAAGGCTATGGATGGTGGCTTCTAGTTATTCAGCTATTCCCACACAAAAGGGCATTTAATTATTCCTTCCCTGTTACCTGAGTGGAGGGTGCTTAATACACCTATCAGCTTTAACCAGGTTTGTCATTTACGATAGCTATTAAAACCTTCCCACATATAAAAATACTGTCATTAATTTCCCACATACTCTTATATCTTTGGTTTTGATGTGTCACAGTTTATTGCCCACATTCCAGATTGCTGCACAATTATTAACTCAACTGAGGCATTCTCAGTAAGACGTGTAGTCTGCTGCTAAGGACTCTGCTAAGTTTTAACTAATGAGCATCAGAGACAGTATTAGAAACTTCATATCATTTAAATTAAACCCTTCACTTCTCAGTAGACATATCGTAACAACTCATCCATAATGAAATAATTGAAACCTGTGCTCCTTATTAAAAATTGTGTATTGTTGATGATTGCAGTATTGTACTGTATATTTTGCTTTACTTGAGGTTTTGAAACTGAGTATTTGAGTTCATAAAGTTATTAGATGAAGACCTCCTCCAAAGCTGATAAGTACTCACCTCTGAACATTTAGAACTTGGTATGAGTATTAATATGG